CAGAAAAGTCCTGACTACCTCTTTTTCCTGTTTGCCAGTAAACAACCAAATAAATGTTAAACACATGTCTCTTAAAGGTCTTTTTAGTCCAGCTAAAATGTGTTCTATGGTTATCGAGAGAGATTTCAAGGTGTATTATAAAATTATTTATGTGCTTTGAAACACAATGGAAAGTACATCATGCTTTTCCTTCTCTAAAACAAGATGGACCTTTATTAAAACCAAAAACCATGACTTTCAGCTTAACACAGCTTGTTTAAGGTTACGCTGAGTGGGCTTAATCCATGCCTGAGACCTATAAATGTAACAATGCTCCTCATAACATTTCACATGTTATTTAGAAGGTAGAATTGTAGAAATGTCAGAATTCATGGCTGAGCAATGAAGGGCTCAAAGGCAGGAACAAGAGCCCGCAAGTAAGAAGGTAAACAATCCAGGAGCTCTATACAACTAAAAGGAAACAGACAGAGCTGTAAAATATGAGACTCTGCATCAAACAGACTGGGGAAAAACAATGAAATATCAGCAAAAAGCAAACCAGGAGTATACATGGACTGAGGGGAGTAATTATAAGGAGCGTCATGTGGAGTTAACTCCAAACAGAAACCTGATTTCACAGGGAAACAGGAAGTAAACACAACTGTGAGCCCAAGAGGAAAATTACATCAAAATAAAAGAGGAATAAAGGATCCAAGAGGAGAGCATAACAACAACTAATACCACCACAACAACAAATATACGTTGGCAATAGCTTTTAAACAAAATATTCCTCTTGTTTTTCAAAAGTGGAGTTTTGACGATGCTGTTCTTTGCCGTCAGTATCTTACCGGTATAATAATGTTCTCAGAGTGGTCTTAGAATGGTCTCACAAGAGAGCCCCCCCCCAATGGCCAGGTTACCAAACTGATTTATGTCATCTTAAAACAATTCCAATCACAAACAGTCCATTAGTTTTTTTTTCCTGAAAAAACTGTATAAACATTTATGCTAAATCTATGCTAAATTTAGCAGAGTGACTATGTAATATAAATGAATGCACACTAACCATTGACTTTTATGTGAATAAGATTGATAGCAGTGCAAAGCTTTATGGAATAATGCTGTCATGAATTGCTACAAAAGCTTTGATGGCAAAGGTATTTTAGGATGATGAAATCTGCTTAGATATTTTTCCCAAACAGTGTCTTTAATTCATCGTATATTCATTTATATTTACCTACCTAATCTGTGTAGTTTTGCTAATGTTGATTTCCAGCAACCGGTAAAAAGCAGAGAGTTGGGATAGACCTAGACCATCAAAGGGCAACCATGCACACAAACCTAGGAGCAATTCAGAGTGGCAGACCCAAGATGTGTGTTTTTTGGAAGCTGGAATACATGTAGAGAACTCAAATATTCACGGGGAAGACATGCAAACTCCCTGCACAAAGTGCCTAGCTGGAATATGAACCCATCAATCTGAACTTTATCACACTGAATTGAATGGACAGAAAACGAGGTTGAGCATCTTACATACATTATCAAAGAAGAACATATAGCAGATGTTATCCTCATTCCCCAAAACAGATGTATAAATGATCCAAGCCAACCATCTTCGCAATGTAGTGTCAGTCCAAAACCCCAGTATTATTTAAATAACATTTTCTATTAATTATTGTTTATTAGTAAATATAGCAATTCAATGATGGACAAATGATCGAACCCTATTTGTATTAATATATGTTTGTTGTTGCATTAAAGCATAATATTTCTGAACATTTGTTGCACAAATCTCTTTAACTGAAATGTTAGCTTGATCTTCGCTTTATTTAAAAGCCCTTCCTTTCTATCCGCTACATGGACAAACATATCTTTAGTTGGCATTAAAACAATCTTCACTTTTCAGTCAAAGAATCACAAAAATCCAGTATTCTTAGAATGTTTTTATGAAAAAAATAAACAGAGCAGTGGTTTAAATTTAAAACAAACTACAGAGATGTCTGTTTTACGCAGTTCTGACATCTGACAACTTTGTCTGGATGCTCCTGCTCTTGCTTACAGTTGGAAGAACAGACAGACGTGGATGAATACATATGAGCACACATCACATCACATTTTGCCTGAGAGATAAAAAGAGCGAAGTGGAGAGATATTGATTTCTCTGTCGACTCTTTGAGAGGAAACCCTGAGGGAGCCTTTAAATTCACTTCCACCCTTCAGTTAGCTGAATTAACTACATTTATCCTTTGGACTAAAACACAAACATAGACAAAGAAAAGATATATCTTACATTTTTATGTCCAGATGGAAAGAATATACATTTGGAGTATTTGCTTTGATTCTGCACCCTAATCAAGCCAATCAATAAGCCACGGTGGAACACGGTAGATCTTGAATCTAACACACAGAGAAACCTAATCCTCTCTCCTGTCTCTCATTGAGAGCCGGATGGACTACGGATCAAGAGAAAAGCCTTGCTGCCCCGAGCTACACCTAAGAATCAAAGCATACACCCACCAGTCCCAAAAGAAGGATCTACTGTAGCCATTCATGAGTGGCCAAATAACTTTAGCTCTTTCTTCTTGCTCAGTGGACCAGTTATTGTCCGCCTGTGTTTGGCAGATGAGTCAGATCCAATCATTTTCCGAGCACAGGCCCCGGGTCAATGAACACACCATTAACTCACCTATAGTCTATTGCTTCTAATGACTCAGTGGACGTCTCTTCAGTCACTGGGTACTTATTGAAAAACCAAGGACAAAGGTAAGTTGTCCCCTACAGCTGTGAAAACATCCTGGCATTGTGACTGCTCCCCTTCAGGCGTTTAGATCGAAAGCCCTGACCAAACTCTCTTAACTGACTCTTTTTCTGTAAAAGGAAAAAAAATCTTTAACTTTAACAAGGTTTGAAAACTGAAAAGAGGTGTTTTGTCTCCTTTGCATTATGTCACTTGTTATACTTTTCTTTTTGTGATACTCTTGTTATTTATCTGTAAATCTTTTAGCATGGAAATCAGATTGTAAAAAAGTAGAGAAACATTATTGCCTGTCTATACTGTACAATGACTAGTGAAATGGGTTGTGATGAAAGAACCCTGTTTCAATGTGTTTTATTTCCTCTTGTAAGATTCTCTTTTAAAAACTAAGTTACGCAACAAAGAATCCTTTACGGCTTTATATTGATCCCTTTTGGCATCAGTCCTCTTTGTGCTTTGTTAAAAAAACTGATGGAAAGAGCTGAGACAGCCATTTTGATCAAATACTAAGAGCTGTTGTTACACAGGTTTAAACATTAGGAAATAAAAGGAATTTGGATAAACAGCAACTGCTATCATGTCTTTGAAGGATGTGAGTTGCTGTTGATGCACTCCTGTTCTGGATAAAGCTGGTCTAATCGGATCAAGGCAGTGAAATTCAGTTTTCTGCTTTGTTTATTATTTTTTATAATTTATTAATTTTATTTTTTTTTTCATTTATATTTATTTGGCATGACGTCACCATCTCATCTCTATATTTCACATTGCCAGAGAAACTCGTATAAAAAAAGCCATTAATAGTCGATGTTGACAAAACATCACAACACCAAAGAATGCAAACTCAACAAATGTATGCCTAATGGTTGCCTAATGGTGACATAATTACAGTAATTGCTCATAAGACTTTTAAACTTGTTTTCCAACCCTACTGTAGCAACTAGCTGTGCTGCAGTGTTAACAATAACCTTTAGATAAAAAGGAACAATAAATTGAGATTTGGGATTAGCTGCGGTAATCTTATTTCCATCCTCCTCTAAAACATGGCTACAACTATAGCTGCTGTTTGCTTACAAAAACAACATTCTTTGCCGTTGCTTTATTTTTTTTGTGTGAAATGTCTATTACATTTGCTTGCGACGTCAGCCATTTCTAATGAGTACAGTACTATAATGAACATGGTAGCGTATCTTAAAGCTCTTATTCTATACAGTTTTCTCGTGGTCTAGTTTTAGTCTAAATATTTTGTTTCAAGCTACAAGCAAGCTACTTTGCGCTTAGCAGAGTGAAGGTAGTAGTTGAAAATATTTTTACATAATGAGAGGACAGAAGTTCAAATTCTTGTTTCCATATATTTTATACTTATATAACCTAATCCCATTACTTTAGGTTACTCTGAATAGCTGTTTTTAAATAAAAGTATGCCATTGTGCTTGCTTGTAAATGGACTGAACTTATTTAGCACCTTTTACAGTCATGCTGGAATACCCCTGTCCAGGGTGTACCCCACCTCTCACCCGTAGACTGCTGGAGATAGGCACCAGCTCCCCCGCGACCCTGAAAGGAAGAAGCAGGTATGGAAAATGGATGGAAGGATGGATGTTAAATCTGCAACTTTATCGTGTCAGTTAACGTTTGCTTGCTCAGATCCCGCTCAGATGGCTTGATAAATATATTTTTCAACAACAGGTGGAACGGATTTAACCATTTTTCTGAGTCATGAGCAAATGAATAAAAACGCACAGAAATAACTGAATGTAATACACACGAACCCATAAAATGGAAATTTGTGATTGCTTTATTCAAAGTAAGAGCAGGGGTTTTCACTTGTAATCAACCTCCCACTCACTGACAATTTTTCAAGACATTCAAACCAAATTTAAAGAGGGGCGGGTGAAAAAAAATCACTGAAAATCTTTTTTTTCCTGCTGAGTAAAGAAAGTGTGCTAAATTCTCCACTGTCTCTCAAATAGAGTTGGTTTCAATATGGATTAGTCAGTCAGTCATTTTCTACAGCTTATTCCATAGTGGGTCGCGGGGGAGCTGGTGCCTATCTCCAGCAGTCTATGGGCGAGAGGCAGGGTACACCCTGGATAGGTCGCCAGTCCATCGCAGGGCAACACGCAAACAACCATGCACACACTCATTCATACACTTAAGGGCAATTTAGAGTGACCAATTAACCTAACAGGCATGTCTTTGGACTGTGGGAGGAAGCCGGAGTACCCGATGAGAACCCATGCATGCACAGGGAGAACATGCAAACTCCATGCAGAAAGACCCCCGGCCGGGAATTGAACCCAGGACCTTCTTGATGCAAGGCAACAGTGCTACCGACTGCGCCACCGTGCAGCCCATGGATTAGTTAAAGCATTCAATATTTTTTGGCTACATATGACATGCTTTATTAGTTGTGTGTGTCTGGAGTAATTTGGTATTTATTTTTGCCGCCTGATGGTTGTCAAAGATGAAAAAGTCAGGAAATTATGGTTTTTGGAGTTACAAGAGAGTACAATTAATTTAATTCCCACTCTTAGATTCAGTGTCAAAGAAATGGGTGAACCCATCCTAATGCTTAAACTCATTTCCATCACACTAAGCTGCTCTTTCAGCTTTTTTTCTAAAAAGAAACTGACACAGTCCCCAAAACGTCAGTCACAGATAAACACAATTTTTACAGTAAGCGAGCAAAACTGACACAAACATTTCAACAGAAAATATGTCAAAGCAAGTCCTTCACCAGTGGATCAAACAGTTACAGACAGCCAGACAAGTACAACAAAATATCAAATGTCTCACTAACCCTTGACACTGGAAGACAAGCTGAAACAATCCTGCACATACTGATGTAGTTACACATTGAAAAGCCAGAAACGGCAAAAGCACAAGTGTGTGTGCCTCTTTAAGCAAACTGTTCTAAGTGAGTGAGAGAGTCTTTTCTCAGTCACCAGCACCAGTAAGTGAGGTCATCCAGAATCAGAGAGCCCAGAGGACTAATTGCTACCTGGTGGGTAATAGAATCTAAGGATTTTAATGATCATACACACAATGAAAAATTCAGGTTTGTCTAGACTGAAAAAAGCCTTGGGGGTTTGATGATAACAGAGACTACTAGGGGAGCTAAAGAGAGGATGAGTCATTATCAGACATCATCCTTTCCAGATACCTTTATCGACTGCTTGGATTTGCCAAGTTAAACTGTTCATTCACAAACTGCAGTCTTGAAGTTTTCTTCAAAATCACTAAATAACAGTTGATATCCTTCATATCCAGTTATCCTTATCTTGCCTCCAGATTGCCATGTTGTCACCTCTTTACCCTCTCATTTACCCACTCGCTTCCACTTGTCCAATACACCACTCCCGACCTCCAGTAAATATGCTCATCGGTTTTCTTTGATCGCTCTTTTTTAGAACATCTGTGCATTGAAGATACAGCACCAACAGTCCACCCACTGTCTACCCTAAAATCTTGCTAAATTTGGTAAACAACTTTTGTACACATCTAACACGAGATTGAGGCAATGAATAGATACCTGCACTTAACCAACACTTACAAGAATACATTGTTATTTCCATAATCATAACACTGCCAATGCTTCTCACATCCTACAGAGCTAAACAACCAGACAAAAACAGATTCTTAGTTGATAGACAATGTCCTCCAATGTACACTCACCAGCCACCTTATCAGGAACACCTGCTGAAACAGAGCATCAAAATGGGGAAAAATGGACATCTAACTTCAGCTGCGACATTCAGATGGTAGGGTCAGAATTAGGCCTGAACAACATGAAAGCACTGATCCATCCTGCATTGCATCACTGGTTTAGGCTGGTGGTAGTGGTATGATGGTATGGGGGATATTTTCTTCTCATACTTTGGGCCGTTCATCCTTTTATGACCATGGTGTACCCATTTTCTGATGGCTACTTCCACTGGAACAATTTAACATGTCACAAAGCTCAAATCATCTCAAACTGGTTTTGAGAAATTTACCAATAGTTCAATGTAGTCTAGTGGCCATCAGAGTGACCAGATCTCAAGCCAACAGAACATCTTTGGGATGTGTTGGAACAGGAAATTTGCTATATTGATGTTGAGCCAACAAATATGCGGCAACTGGGTGTTGCTTTAGAGTTTGACAACTCACATGATGACAGTTTTTAATGTTCTTGATTTGGCTGCAAAAGCTCATAGAGTAGGGGGAAACAATGGGTGACAGGCTTCCATGCTGGAATGCAAAGTTCAACTCCATCATCTTTATCCAAGGGCTTTTTAACTCTTGATATAAACAAATGTTTAATATTCGGAGTAAATTGTCCATGCTTTTGGTTGGAATTATGAATGTATTGGTTTACATGTTAGAATCTAAGAGTTAGCCCAATGTTGAATGCGGCACTGACAAAAAAATTGATTTAGGAGCCCACCTGTAGATAAGACCATCGTCCACCAGCCACCATAGCACCACCATTTTGCGTATTGTTCATTCAACAAGTGAGCCAACAAAGAATTTTCTTAATTGACTGTAGGCAACAACATCTGTCAATTTGCATTATCTATAAAATATACCCTCCGAGATATAGTATACTGTGTGAAAATTCAACAGCTCTGGTGGCCTGGGGGGTTGGATCTGTCATAACACAGGCACTATAAAGGATCCATCTTATTTCTATCCCGTCATTCTTTAAGAGAATCATATGTACAACATCCAGACCAGCTTGCTTGCAAACAAAGGCTTTTTCACTGTGCAAATATGAATTTAAACATGTGGTAATATCAAGTTTTTTTACTTTAAACTTGTTACTAAATTATAGCTGCACTTATATCTTGCACAGACTTGGAGGATAACCTGGAGAAACTGCCTCTGCTTATGTATAGTAGCATATGTTGCTGCTTCAGTGAGTTTTCCCTCCCTCTTCTCCTTGTTTTCTATCGTCAAAATTTCCCCACCACTTTCTGTGAACTTAAGAATTTTGTGGATTTAATTTGTATCGAGTTTTCATATCAATAAGAGCTGTAATGCATGTCACCTGAAATAAAACAACTTACCGAAAAACTGTATCAGTCTGATTGCTGTTATGCAGAAACTGATATTGCAATTCGATATATTGTGTAGTGCTGATTACTACATTACTAGATCACACATTATTTCTTGAACATAAAATTATACCTAATCTGTTCTCAGCATGTTCAGGAACAATCCTGTTTCTCTCTGGGTGCATGTTACACACACAATTGTTGAAGCCACAAATTTAGCCACATCCTATTATAGGAACAGCCATGAACAGCGCAACAAGTACCGCAACTTCATGGTGATGTCTCCATATGCATAAAAAAAAGAAGAAATTTAGGTAAACTTCAAAATAGTTACTTCAAAAATACTGTTCCCTTAAGGATAAATGGTACTTGGACTAAACTTATATCGCGCTTTTCCACTTATACCAACCACTCAAAGTGCTTTACACTAGAGTCACATTCACCCAACTGCACTCACATTCGAGCACACATTAGTACACCGATTGGTAAGACACTTGAGGTTAAGTGCCTTGCCCCAGAACACATTGACGTGGCAGGAGGAAGCTGGATTCGAACCAACAACGTTTAGTTTGGATTTAAAGAAGACCACTCTTTCCACTGAAATTAGATTCAGCTGTATTGTCATTGCACTTGTTGTAAGTACAAGGCAACGCAATACAGATTGCATCTAACCAGAAGTAATTAAATATCCAAGTTGTGGCCACCATCAATCCAACATCTGCAGCACCAGGAACAAGGTGGATAAACTTTTGGAAAACCAACTCAAAAGTAGGAAACTTCTGTTACGTAAGGTTTTAATGCTTGACTGTCTGCTGCCTTTCGAAAGCTTTTTGAAGTTAAATAAATAATGTCAAACTTCTGCTCACCAAAATAGCATCAAATTGTGGGTTACTGCAGAATCTCGTAGCGCCAAAAGAAAAATTAAACCTAAATCTACGCCTAATGTTGCACGCTGTCTGGAACAAATATATCAAACGGATTTCACTCTTGGTGGGAGCTTCCACTTTAAAGGCTGAAATTGGATCCTTTGGTGAGCTGCAGTCATCTTTGAAGCTTTCACACAGTGGAAATGTCACCTGTCACACACATTTATTGTCTGACAGGCCTCTGTGCAACCGCTCTGTTTGACTCTGTGGGCTTGGGCTGTTGGTATCATCATGCCCAGCAACTGGCATTAGTTTAGGAGACAACTAGGCAGGAATTCGCATTTTAACACCCTTTGTGTGTATAGAGGCTATAAATTAGGTGGTAATATAACACAAAACTCAAAAGCCTCAAAAGCCTTTAAATGCAAAAACGTAGACACAACTTAAAAGAGGTTGCATTAAGTCAAGACACTGTATTGCATAAAGTTTATACATCATAGTAATGGTAAATTGGTCTACTCTTTTGCACGTTTCTGCCGAGAGTGGACTGCTGAAGCAGTGCCTTTTCAACTGAGAACTTCAAAGTTACTGTCCAGGGATATAACAATGCTTGAGCAGCCACTGAAGTACAACTTCCACTTAAAAATGCACCGCAGGACAGAGGCAAATGTAGAGAACAGTTCATTTATTCTATTTGATGGTCTTTTGTGAGTTTATGAGTGCCTGTGTGTATGAGGGGGGCTGGAGGGGAATCTTTCAATAAGTAATTCAAATGTTGTCATAACACAACAGGAGAAAGAGATGGGAGGAGGAGGACGACTCAAGGAGAAACAATAGCAGAGAGGGTATTGGTGAGGAGAAATACAAAAGGATTCACAGTGAGGAGTGAGGGAGGACAGAAGAACTCTGTGAGGAGATAAAAGAAAATAAAGAAGCCGGTAAGCACTGGAAATAATCAAAGAAGTGTGGTTAATTAAGAATTTCGGGTGTGATGTTCAATCATTTCTACAGGGGCTGACCCCAGCTTTTAAGAAGGGCATCAGCTCTGCAAAGAGACTGCAAGCTAAGAAAGAACAAGCACATCTGGTTTCCAGAACAAACCTGACTCCCCCCCAGCCTTGACTTCACCAAGATGAGAGATTCACACAGAGACACAACCTGAGACCTGTTGATTTCCCGGCATGCCCAGCTCACATTCCTGACCTCCTTCTGTCACTCTACCATTTGACTCCGCCTTGTAGCCTTTATCTACATCACCCCCATTCCTCTTGCAGTTCCCTGTCTTTGAGTAGAAACCGATCACTCTGCAGTGATTTATGAGTGACTGACAGGGAACATTACAGCAGCTCAAATTTTATATTGACAGGCAAGCCCTCAACAACAGCGACATAGATGTAACGCAATGTACTAAATCTTCAGTTATATACAGTTCTGCTCAAGTTTTATC